TGGCCAAGAACGCGGACGTGAATGCTCAAGGAAGATTCTATAGCAATACACTATACGCGGCATCATTAGGAGGTCACGAGAAGGTGGTGGAGATGTTACTGGCCAAGAACGCGGATGTGAATGCTCAAGGTGGAGAGTATGGCAATGCATTACAGGCGGCATCATTGCGAGGTCATGAGAAGGTGGTGGAGATATTGCTGGCTAAGAACGCGGACGTGAATGCTCATGAAAAGTCTGGCAATGCACTACAGGCGGCATCATGGCGAGGTCACGAGAAGGTGGTGGAGATGTTTGCTGGCTAAGAACGTGGACGTGAATGCTCAAGGTGGATACTATAGCAATGCACTACAGGCGGCATCATCAGAAGGTCACGAGAAGGTGGTAGAGATGTTGCTGGCCAATAATGCGGACGTGAATGCTCAAGGTGGAGAGTATGGCAATGCATTACAGGCGGCATCATTGCGAGGTCATGAGAAGGTGGTGGAGATATGGCTGGCTAAGAACGCGGATGTGAATGCTCATGAAAAGTCTGGCAATGCACTACAGGCGGCATCATTGCCCCGTCATGAGAAGGTGGTGGAGATATGGCTGGCTAAGAACGCGGATGTGAATGCTCATGAAAAGTCTGGCAATGCACTACAGGCGGCATCATGGCGAGGTGACGAGAAGGTGGTGGAGATATTGCTGGCCAATAATGCGGACGTGAATGCTCAAGGTGGATTCTATGGCAATGCATTATACGCAGCATCATTGCGAGGTCACGAGAAGGTGGTGGAGATGTTGCTGAACAAGGTTGCGGACGTGAATGCTCAAGGTGGAGAGTATGGCAATGCATTACTGGAATGTGTTGGGAGCGGTCCATTCGCGGCGGTCCATTCGGCAAAGGTCCATTCGGCGTTTGAATCTTGGCGGGTTCGTGGCATGACTGCGCAATAGTAATTTGTATGCAGTATTCCTAGATTTTCCCAGAGAGAGTTTTGAGTTTTGATCCACTGTCATTCATAATTCAAGCTTGCTGCACTTCCTAAACAGGTATTGAAATAGATATCCTTGGTGTTGTACTATTACTCTTGTTGCTATGGCCACCTCTTTGTGGACTGCTCATCCTGACTGCCCAGAGCATATCAAAGCAGAGCTCGAAGCGCGTGTACGGTCCCTCCCTCCCTCCTTCTTAATAGCCCCTACGGCTGGGGGTCTTCGATAACCCTGATGTTTGTCAAGAGCGTTTACAGGGCTGGGCCTTATCGCAAGGCTTTGCTATCGTCCGAAAAAGTGGTAGCATAAAGGCAGCTCGCAAGCGGTTTGAATTTCGCTGTATACACCACGCAGTTGATACTCTTAATACTCGTCAGCTTGAAAAGCACACTGAGAGAGATGAGGAAGATAGGGTTACTACCCGTCGAAAGCAAGAGAGTACCAATATCAACGCTCGTAGCTGTCCTTACTACATTTGTCTTACCTATAAGCAAGTTGGCAAGCGTGGTTCTGGGGTATTTGGCTTCATTCTGAGTATTCGTGATAATACTCATACGCATTTGATGGCGGTCAACGCACTGAGATACAAGAAGCACGTTAAAACGCTCCCTGGGTATTTGCCTGCAATGGAGCTGGGTAAGTCGCTTCGAACAGCTAATATCTCTTACTCTGTTGCTCTCCAAGTACTTGAACAAGTTGGATTTCCTCTCGATCGCAATAGCTACTACAACATTCGATCTCGTGTTGCTTCTGCTGAACAAAACGAGTTTGCGGCGCTTGTTGTTGCTTTAGAGGAGGCAGGATTCATCTTTGAATGTCGAATAGAGGAGGAGTTCGATTCAGAAAGTGGTATAACTATTAGTAGACAGTTACAACAGATTTGGTTTGCTCATCCTCAGCAAATTCGATATGCTCAACGATTTATAGCTGATTTCGCTCTCTTCATTAACGGTACTTTTCAAACGAATGCCCTCAACCTTGTGCTTATCATTACCGCTAGTATCACGAACTGTAACTCAACGTTTGTGAGCTCTCTGTCGTTCGCTCGTTCTAAAGCAAAGTTGTCCTTTGATTTCATCCTTAAGAGCCTCAAAAAGCACGTTTTTTGCCCTCCTATCCCGGTACCACGCATTATTATTAGCGACCAAGCTGCGGGCTTGAAAGCTTCTATGCCTGTATCTCTTCCAGGCACGATTCTTCAATTTTGCGACTGGCACGCTGTTCAGACCGTTTTAAAGAGACTCGCTGATAAGGGCTATTCGAAGGAGATTCGCAAGGAGATGAAGTCATTACTGTGGAGCTTTGTCAAGAGCAATACTCAGCTTGAGTTGGAGGCTATTCGTACAGCGATACATTCAAAACTGAGGCCAGATAAGATACAATATCTCAACAAATACTGGGGTCCTAAGGAGTCGCAATTTCTACGAATCCATACTCGAAAGCATCCAAATCTAGGCGCTCATTCGAATCAACGCTCTGAGAGTCTCCACCCTGGTACGAAAGACATTCTAAATAAGCAACTAAATATGGAAGAAGCTACTCGACGGCTAGGAGTTACTGTGAAGTCAAAATTGAGACAGTTATCTGAGCAGGAGGCTCAAAATGGTAGTAAGTTACCTCATACGCTTGATTCAGAAGCATTCGTACTGCTGGCAGATACTATATCGCTTTTCGCTATATCAAAGATATCTTCTGAATAGGAGGCCACAAAAGACGAGATAAATAAGGGCTCTCTACGCCCTAAGCCCTCTTGCTCTGAATGCGAGATACTTGTTCGATTTGGCCTCCCTTGCAAGCACTATCTTGCGCAGCCGTGTAAGGATGGTGCTCCTATTCCTCGATCCTTAATACACCCTCGTTGGTGGATTAACGGTGAGCCTATTCGTATCACTGGATAGACACCAACATACCATACTTTCGCCTTACCAATGTCCACTACACAACATTCTGCCTCTCATTTACAGCACCCTTATATCTCTCCTACTAGGAACCAGATTACAGGCCTGGGTTTACAAGTTCTAGAGGCTAGAGAGGATCTTACAGGCTACGCTCGTACACGATACGATCGAGCAGCTACAAATGCCCAACAAGGTCTAGTGGAATTTGCTCAAGAGCTTAAGGAGGATGATCTTAATACTCGAATGCCAGATCCTGTCAAGAGATCAGGGTGGAATAGGCAGTTTAAGAGTCACGATAAGACCAATAAGCGACTTATGACGGGAGCTGAGGCAGCAGAACGCGACGCTAGTAATAGAGAGCAGGCAGCTGCCAGAGAGGCGCGTCAGCGCGAAAGAGAGCCTTATACGCTCACTTTTGGCCGAGAGCCTATTCTGCAGATGGTCTCCGGGGCACTGTCTCCTCCTTCTGCGCCTGAGATCATGCCTGCTGCCTCCGGAGAAGCCCTCAGGGAGCCCCTTGAGGAGGAGGAGGAGGAGGATGACCCCTTTATAGCAGAGATCGGGGCATGTGCGCCCTATAGGCTTGGCATCTATGGGATAAGTCTTGGCATTCCTGACAATCTGCTCTTGAGGCAGCTCACGCCATGCTTGGTACCATGCTCGTTCCATAACCCTGCGATTTGCTGGCGCACCCTGTGCGGTTGTTTTGCGTTTCAGCCAAAACCAAGCTGGCTCACTAGCATTCAAATCGGGCGAATTTCCAGGTCATAAAAGACGTACAATATCATAGAGTAGATATACAGTATTCTGATGTCGATGAGCATGAGATGGAGCATTATCCTCTTGAACAAGAGTATCATGTCGGTCCTTCTGACACTCTTTAGCAAAGGGTATAAGCTTTGGAAGAAGAATATGCTTCCAATATCTATACCAATCAATGCCTCCAGTGAGATAGTGATCCAACTTCACAAAAGAGTTACGCCCAAGTAACCAAAGTTACTTGAATGCAGTTGGAATAATTAGTATATTAATCCTTATCCAGATGCCCTAGAGAGAGTTGGACCACAACTCCATCTAGGCCCCAGGAGGCCTCCATGTCAACTCCGTGACATCCAGCTTTGCCTTCTCGAACAAGCTTGCCATTCTTTTTTGTAAACTTCCATTGTGGTTTTTTTCCAGCAGGTCTTCTTCGGAGATTCATTCGCCTCATTTTTGTTGATAGCTCCCATTCCATCTTAAGCATAGGCTCAAGAGCTTGGTTAAGCTCAACAAGCTCTTCGTCTGCTTTCTTTCGCTCTTGAGCAGTCTCCTTAGTCCATATATGACAAGGTCCCTTCTTATCCCAACTAAAACAACCCCAAAACATGAATTCTGAATAACCTTTCCATCGTCGCCGAATACAGGTATTTTCATAGGCTTCTCCACTTTCTCGCCATAGACGTACAGCACCTCTGCGTTGACCAAGTATAACAGAGGTCTCATCACTCCAAATAACGCGTTTCCAGTCCTCTAGGGTCCAATTGATATGATCAAGGCAAAAGGCAAGGCGAACAGCTCTTTGAACTGCGTTAAGACCAGGTTTTCGTGTGGGTTTCACATTGGAGAGGCTGTTGGAAATAGACAGGGCAGAAGCAGTATGTTGCCATGGCGTGGCCAGAGAGATTGTAGATTCTACGAGGAACGCCCTTGCAACCACGACGCCATCATGCGGCTTTCCCGCCTTGTCCATGTACTTATCAAATTCGTCGTCGTTGAATATACCCATGGTGTGTCGCACCCTCAGGAGCTCTGTCATGATCTCTTCGTTGAACTCCGGATGACCTTGAAGAAGCTGAATCTACGCCATGGTACGCCTCTTCATAACCTGCGGCTTTCCTGCGCTCCGGTGCTACTCACACAATTGTTGCCACTACTCCTCGTCCTCTTCCTCTTTTTCTTCCTCTTCTCTGGTATCTTGACGCTGTATTGACGACGAGCTTTCAGTAGAAGCGCCTTCTTTCCTCATTGCTGCTCTCGTCATCCCAGCAAACTCAGGCATTGTTGACCATAGTGGAGGAGCCTGACCGTTAGACTTCTGGAGTCTTCTTAGCTCTCTCTTTTCAAGAGCATCCTCCTTTAGAGCGTTCTTCTTGCTCTGCCACTTCAGATACTCTTTATATTCGGCCATAGAATATTTAGGCCTAAGAACAGGCGCAGGCCGCAATCCGTCGTTTCGCCCTGTCTCATTCTCCTTGCCCTTCCATACTGCTCCACTACGTTTTCTTTTTCCCTCTTCCGGACGGACCAGCTCAGGGCTATCCTCTGGAGAAGGACTGCGACGGGGTCGTGATTGTGGGCGTTCAGGGGTTCGAGCAGCCAATTGAATAGAATAAAGACCGGGTCATGAAGGCGTTAATGGCGTAGTTAACTGAACAAAAGAAGGATCAGGCTGTGAAGACGCTATCTGAACGTTCTTTTCTTGTTCTTTTAGCTCTCGCTCAGAGTGCTCCGCAGCAGTCATTCCTCGAGCGTTCGCCTTACCATGACCCCTTTTCTGTCGAATATCATCACGTTGTAAGATAAAATCTGGTTGGTTAATAGCTAGTTGTTGT